TTGCCGAAGGCCTTGAAGAAGTCTAGGAATATAACATCCACGCTGTTCCCCATGTCTACTTCTTTAGTCCAATTGTCTGTCGCCGCTAGGGGTTTGTTAAGAACGACCGGTCTTTGCGGAATCCGTGCTGCTGTGTTGAGGAAATTCGTGACTCTAATAAATCCTCTTATTCCATCGTCTATTGTGCTTTTCATTACTTTTGAAAGTATAGAAAGAGGGGCTAACGGACGATAGTTTTCGGGGGGTTACAATGCTGGCTTTCCAATCACATGGGAGTTTTCCAGTGTTCATGGAGGCCGTACACAGTTGTTCGAGGGGGCACTTAGAACCCCTGCGCAGCTTTTGAGAAGTACCGCTGGTAGGCTATCCGGACCCGGAGATATATTCGGGCAGAGATGAATTAGTTTGGCCTCGATGGTGAATCTGTCAAAATGTATGACGGAGAGTACTTAGGTTGGAATAAACGAAGCAGAGTCAGCTGGCCGTTGTTCCGCGTATAGTGAATCGCTTTCAAATACGGTTTCCAAGTGCATTGCTAAGGCTTCCGCGGCTTCTACTTTAGAGGAACTTTCAGTATTTCCCTTTTTTATTTTGATGATGCCGGTAGTAACTGATCGAGTCTGGGCTATGTGTCGATAAAGCAGTTTAGGATTTTACTTAACTTCTCGCATAGCAGAAGCTGGTAGAGCCTTCTGTTCTCACGTTGGAGGGTTGTGCAGCGGTTTATGAGCGTCCTGTAAGACTCAAAATCTTCGAGCGTATAAGTCAGCTGGTATCTATTCGAAGATGATCGCTTTGAGCTGATCAGCTTCTTAGCCCTGCTCCTAAGCCAAGTTCTTTTACCATTTTTGGGTTTGACGATGCGCAGAGGAACTAGGTTGTGGATTGTCAGTTGTAGACTGTTCAGGATTCTACGCCACAAGTCGTCAACTGATGCTTCGCCTGATTGTTCCATCCAGGGAAATGCTTCTAAAGCTCTGTTAAACTCCCCATAGTCTACCCTGTAAAAATTCTGCTCTGCGAATAACTGATATATCTTTTTAGTGGTACACACTAGGAACTTGAACATGATCGTGGCATGACCACATTTTCCTAGCGGGTTCAGTATCTCTAAATCGTCCACTAGCAGCGGGTCGTTAGTAAGGACGTAACCAAGCATGGATCAGATTCCTTCGGAATTCCACCTGGTGGGTCTTTTCACGTACTCCACTAATCCTAGTTCAGTACATAGCTCTAGAAAGCGAGTCTGCATGGACTCCGCTGGACAGGCGGCGTTGTGGGCCGCGAAGTCGATGGACGGGAGATTGGAATCTCCCATAATCAGTATGTTCACATGCCCTAGTTCTACAGCTCTATTGATAGACAACAATATGCTGGCGTCTTCTGGGGCTGTTGAGTTCGGCGGTCTGTAGACTACTGCCACTAAAGTTGCTGTGCAACCTTTGGGTTTGGAGGAAACCCACACTGATTCTGGGCAGCCGTTCAAATATGGATCAGTCACCTGCTCCGGGTGCAGATTTTGTGCTACTTAAAGGATGACTCCTCCTCCCTTAGAACTAGTACGCTCCTTTCTGTAGCTGTGCATTCCCGGGAGAGATATTTCTGCGTCATGAATCTCTTTGTGTAACCATGTTTCACTGGTACCTATAATACCAGGATTGCTGACCGATGTCAAGGTTTGTAACTCTACGATTTAATTCACCAGGCTCTGTGCGTTGGTGTATACGCATGATGTTGACTCCGTTTGGAAGGTAAACGCTCGTTTCACTGTTCTGTTCTCTGGTCGACTTGATCCGGCCTTTAGAAGACCGGAAACTATTCGTTTTTTGACTTATTCTTTTTGGAGTAATGGTTGATGTCAGGGCTCCTTTCAGGGTCTCGAATAGGAGATAGGATTAATGCGGGAATAACACTACTGTTGGGGGAGAGCACCCTCATGGCCACTCTCTCCTCTCGTTGTCGGCTCTCGTGGCATTTTATCTCGGTGGCGAAGATGTGTTTGGCTGTGCGCCACCCCTGCAGGAAGTTGTTTCGTGCCCTCTTCGAAAAGCACTACTTAATGAGCCTAGGCGAAGTCAATCTGCTGAGGTGGGCGGGCCTAGGTAGCCTTATCACTCGTTCAGCTATTACGTCGGTCAGACAGGATTTCTCCAGAATGTAATCCCATTGTTCGCTGTCGTGCAGGCATTGACTAATTTCCCCTTGGGCTTCTGGTATGCCTCGTATGATGACCGAGCGGGAGTCACAGTCGTCATTCTGCCTCTTAGTGTCTCGCCTATGCTGGCGTTCGCTCCACACGAGGTCACATCTTATTCTTATGTGACTCCAATCTAAAGTATGAAGCATGAGCGAGCGAAGAAGAATCTCCAATGCACCCTTCGGATTAGCAGTCTCCCGTCTTATTGGTCTGGAGGCGTGAGTTTTAGTAGTTGCATCACTATTGTTTAGTCTGTGATGCTTGATTACATCAAGTTGTATGCCCATGTGGCGCAGTATATCAGTAATGTATCACATGAATACCGCTATGAGGCAGAGAGGTGTTTACCGTTCAGGGATTAGACCAAGAGGCATGTCTAGATTCCTTTTAGAAGCGGATCCTGTGGGGGCATTAACTACTTCGGAGGGGGCTATTTCAAAGAGGAATGACCCTGTGGGTGAAAGACCAATGACGGACTAGAAGAAACCTATTTGTTGAAAGACTCCGTCTTCCGGAGTTTTTGCGCGTCACTCTACGTTTATTGTTGTAGTCTGTGAAGTCAACAGTACTCAAACTTGACGGAAGCAGTACTCGAACTTGACGGACGCAGTACTCAAACTAGCACTCTGGATTGGAATTTACGATTGGTCTCGAGCGCTCGGGATATCCTATACTGTGTCACTTTGTGTTTGGATCTATTTTGGATCTATTCTTCGAGGATGCCTGTAACCCGGAGTTATCAGTCGAAGAATCCAGACAGTAATGAAGAGGAGAATACCATAACTCAGGCGAACTCCCGTGTTGTACACTCGCTCCCAGTTTCACAATTCTCATCACCCTCTAAGTTTGACATGTATTGTGATAGGGAATTGAACAGGCATACTGTAGCGAGTTGTAATAGGCATAGTTTAAGAAGAGAATTACTTGAAGAGGAATTAGATTTAGAATTGAGAGAGTTAGCCAGTAGACGCCAGCTACTCCAAACAAGACGAGAGTCGTTAACGGAGGTGCCCGGCGAAAAGATGAATGAGGACTCGTCCGAAGTGAAATCGACCAATCGAAGACAGCAACTAGCTGACAATTCGACTGGGCAAACTGATGCCAACAGTGCCATCGATGAAGGGATGGTGCACGACACAGTGGAGGCGATAAACACCACGTCCCCAATGGTCACTGATCTTGATGCATCACGTGAATGTGTGATTCAGGATCATCCAATATCATCAGCCTGCGTCCCTACCGAGACGTCTCTGAAACAGTGGCGGCAACTAGCCGATCCAAAACTTCACAAAGTTGGTCACAAGTCAGTCCCACTTCAGCTTGAAATGAACTTCCCGAAAGCCCATCGGGCCATTCAGAAGTGACTGGGAGGGACCAAGCAACCGTACCCTAACGTTACACTATTTGGTTGTGTAAACGTTCGACTCAACGGAGGCAAGAGAGGTACGAACACCTCAGTTAATCACATCAAAAATCAAAGCTCGATTGATGACGTTATCCTGAGATACCTTAACACCAAAATTATTGGTAAAGGGTCAGTGATCCGAACGGTTATCGCGGGAGAAGACAAGCAGGGCTTGGATCCAACAATCTGTCCAATGAACATGGCCGGTCGGCGTTACATGATACTACTACTGCGGAGGAAGCTTCGGCACGCGATGGTCGAGCGACATCTATATCCATGTAAGCGCCTAAAAGGGCATGCTATTGGTGCGACTACTACCACAACAAACGTGTGGAATGGCATCGAAATAATTGAGGTGCTAACGGCAAACCACATAAAACTACCAAACCTACATCTAAACTTGGTTGATATATCTGTCGACCGTAGAAATTGATACACAAGACACTGAAGACAGGGAATCTTACTGGCTAATACCTGGCGTTGTTGAATTGCCGAAAACGTTCACCTTCTCCAGATGCGTCAACAATTGTTGGCGAATAGACGTAGCCTGCAGAATAGTGACTTCGTACTGATCTTTGACCACTAGGTCCCGCGGAACCCATGGTTTAACAGAGTTGTGAACACTACAGCTGGCGAAGATGGCCGAGTACACAAAGTTGAAGTTCGAACTGTCAAGGGCATCGTTACGAAAGATATTAGGAGAGTATGCCTGTTGGAAGGAGTCGAGTGGGCTGGTACAATGGCGCACTCTCAGTATACGACCGCGATTGTGGCAAGAGTAAATTGTACTATTTTCGTTGGTCGTGTGTCTGAGTGTGCAGGGTAGAATCTATTGGGTTAGCTAAGCCATGGCGGCTTGGGGGGCGGTGTAGAATAAATTCTGCCCATGTTGACTTCACTTCACACACACACAACCAGCACCACCATCCTGTTGTCCATTGTCTTCCCTTTGACCGTGTAATGTTGATTCCATCCCCTCATTGATCCGTGCCTATGACTTTTTTCCAGGCCTTTACACATACGCACGCACTGTTAGTATGTTTGCCCCATTACGTTGACCTCCGTTGGTCTCATCCGTTTCATCGATCCGTGCCCATGATCGACCGACTCTGACACTTGTGTACACACACGCACGTATACACCTACACCGATTCATAGCTCTGTCCCGTCACGACGGGCCCTGATGACACATTTACACCCACTGTGTTGTGATTGGTTCCCTCTAGCTCGCTTCTCACTATTGACCACCACGGATTCATGTGACCCTGTTCAACATTATTCGTTGTATTGGTTCTATTGTCATCGCACTGCGCGCCTGCTTGCTCACAGTTCTTGCTTGTCGAATTGCTGGCTTCACAGATTCCGGTGTTTTTAACCGGCTAGTGCCACAGTTTGAGGTTTGCATATTTTTACTATTTTAATCTGTATTTCAGTACCGCATTTGTAGAAGAAACCTATTTGTTGAAACACACCGTCTTCCGAGTATTTTGCGCGTCACTCTACATGGATCATTGTAGCCTGTGAAGTCAACAGTGCTTTTCGTGAGAAAATCCCGAAGAAGGGCGAGGAGTCTGCCACTGAGGCCATATGACTCGAGCTTATAGAGTAATGGAGCGTGGGGGACACGATTGAAAGCTTTTGCGAAATCAATGAATATTGCGTGAGGAATCAAGCCGCCATCGTGGGCTTGTGTTATACCATCNGACAACCCCCCTCGGCGATTTTCGTAAAAATAAAAATACTACCCATAAGTAATGAAACTGACAAACTGACAAAAACATTTTAAAAGTCGTTCGGAAATGTTTGTTATTGTGGTGCTGTATTTGTATTTTTATTGCTGCTATTGTTTGTTCTTGTCAACATTCGATACATAGCGTCACCCTTGATCACACCTACAAACTCAAAGTTGCCATACATTACGTTTTGTTACTATTTATCGTGTATCATCAGTTCGCTGTCTTACTATACTCATTTTGTAGTATTCCTACTCGCCCTGTGAAACCAATTGATAATCTATCAATTCAAATTACATATTATGCCTATTCGTAAGCGTCGTTCTACTCAGACTGCAAATAAACGCACGACAGCTAACACGAATCTTTCTGCTAGGCAAATGAGATATAAACGTGACCAACCTCATTCAACCCTAAATCCGTGCTCGGTCACTATAACCGACTTATTAGGCAAGGCTAGAATGAAAGCTGATACTGTTGATCTTAAGTTGCAGGAGATGGATTCCTAATTGTCGTTCCTTAGGGACCTCATTGCTAAACTTGCGCCTATCACTCACATTATGGAACCATCCATGTGTCCAGATAAACCTAGCCTACTTACAGCCGGCATGTTCATTGACACTATTTCGGCTAAAATTGTCAGACGCGAAAAACATTCATATAATGCTGTTGTTTTTAACAAACCGGCCGGTTGCCTATCACAACTGTCAAAAACACTATTCTCAAGGCTTGCAATATGGCGCACCACGTTTGCTTCTGCAACCGGTGGAGCAAGAATACCCAGCGCAAACACTGTATTGACACGCCACTTTCACCTTTTACCAACGACTTCTTTTCTACTCGCAACGAGCTTTTGTTTTACCAGGCGCACCTTACCTGTTTACGCTCAACCGCGGAATTGTCACTTGTCCCGGTGAGTCACGCTGCATCGCTACACGTGTAAACCTTTCAATGCAGGTCTCATCCTATAAACCGCTGGTCACGGGCTATCCGTCTTCTTACTCCTTCGGAGCAATAGTCGAATTGCTCTGTGTCATACTCGATCGTTGAGCTGAATCGTGGTTGGTTATCGTAGATAGTGTTAGCCACCTAAAGTGGTGATCCCGTACGTTTTTA